TATTGTGGGGACCCGTCAGTCAGTCCCTTACCCATAGCTGGGGACATGTCCCCTCACTTTTGTTAAAAATGTTCTGAAAAATAGCAACAAGAAATGTTAACTAACGAATGAAAATGCTTTGAGAAAAGTTTGTTTGCAAGAAAACATGCAATGCAGTTTAAATACAGAGGAAATAAATGTGCAAAAAAGGAACTTAAGTTATAAAAACAAGCTTCTGATTGCTGCCTTATATTACTGTTTAATTTACTTTATTTTTAGGGCCCGAGCACGAACTCTGCGAGGTCCCTATTGAAACTGTAAGGATTATTTTTTATTTATTTATTTTTAAAAGAAGTCGGCCATTTTGAATTTTACGGCAATTTTTGGATGATTTACACACTTCGTACTTTAACGAACTCCTCCTAGGGATTTTGGCGGATCGATTTCAAATTTCTGCTGTGCCTTCTAAAGGCATTGAAGATGAAAATTTCTGCTATCTGTCAGTTTTCGTCAATGGGCGTGTCCGTGGCGTGGCGTCAAAGATCAACTCTTCGCCATGACACAGGAAGTTGTTCAGTGTACACTTCAGTGTACATGTTCACATCTGCACAAAAATTTACGTGCTTGATAAGTCCCACCCTGAACACATCTACAAGCCAATATTCATTTGTATTCATAGCACCAAGTGCTATGTAGCGCCACAAAGGGAACACAGGAAGTGACGTATAACACCTTCATGCAGCGTCCGAAGCACGTAGCAAATTCACAGCTGCACCGGCAGAGCTCCAGAATACTCAACGCGGCCGCCTCACACCCCGACGCGCTACTCGTGTGAGGGCCCGCCCAACGCTGCTTGCAGCTTTAATTAATATATATATATTATTATATATAATATATATTTTTTATTATTATTTAGTTTTTTAACACACACACTTTTACCGTTTCGTTTACTTTATTTGATGAAATGTATAAAATAAAGTGTTCTTTTGTAATTTATTTGTAGCTTTGGCAACATTGTTGTTTTACATTCATGCCAATAAACCCCTCCCCCACTGCCTGGAAAGCAGCATGATCATGTATGTGCCAGTTCATACATGTCTTTTGATTCATCTTCTCCCGGTGTCTCCTTTTTACCTGGGTTTTGGATTTTGATCCCTGTTGGATTTGTTTGTCTGTGCTGGACGTTTGACGTTCTTACCTGGGCTTTGATCTACTCTCCCTGCTCACCTGTCTTGACATAATTAAATAACTGAACGTGCTTCCCGTGTTCCTGCTGTCCTGTTAGCGGTCGCTGTGACAGACACGCAGTTAGGACACGTTGCTGTAACGAGGCCTTGCTTTCATTTTAATGAAACTGCTTTACTTCATAACGATTATCGAGTGAACCGGATAATGAGTGTGAGGGATTCAGCAGAGAAAGGAACGAGGTGAAACCAGCGGCTGCCTGGAAGGAGGGAAATCTAAATTTAAAATGATTATCGGAGATGGACGCTGTACATGAAAGGGTTGGTCAGTGTGATGATCTGAGTCTGCAGCAGCAGAGTCCAGATCAGACCTGCAGGTTTTTATCTCACCAGCACACCAACATTTACATCTCCTCCCCGAGCGTTTCCTCACTGCTCTTCAACTTTGAAGCTGAGGACGGATTCTGAACCTTTGCTCTCGTTCTCCTGGTCTTGGTGTGTTCGGGTGTCCACATACTTTTGTGAACATGTTAATGTACACTCATGTTCCCCAACCTAACACTAACACTAGAACCACTGCTGTTTCACTGCTTTAATTTACTTGATTTATTTTGACTACGTGTGGAGAAGCCACACGAGATGTCTTAGTTCCTGAGTGTGCTGGCAATAAAGACCACAAAGACAAACACACCTGCTGGATGTGCATGTACAGTTCACATGTGTATTTCTGCAGTTATGCAGCAAAACAAAAGCACAAATTCTGAAATGTTATTGTAATGTTAGGAATAAGAATCACCCCAAAACGTGAGGTTAGGTTCTGTTTCCTCAACAATAAAACATCTGCATTCCTATGCGTAAGGGCAACTTGGTCGTGCACTATAGTTCCAAAGGAAATGGCTGTAAAGTGCTGAAAATATTCTTAATTATGGCTGAACGATTTTGGGGAAAAAATGTAATTGCGATTTTTCTGCCAGGTGTTGCGATTACGATTTGATCTGTGATTTTTTTAATTGAAGTTTGCACAGAGCAGAACGAAACCGGCTCACAGAGAGCTGGGGCGAGTTCAATCTCACAACGTTCAGCACCGGTTTGCAACATTTTCGGATTGAACGACACGTTTCCGTGCAATGTTACGCAACGTTCTGCAACAGACTTATATGTATGTTAACATAATAACATATATATATATATATATATATATATATATATATATATATGTTTTCTTCTGTTTGGTGGGCGTGTCTCAGGTGTTATCCAATCAACTGCGAAAAGTTTGTAAACACAACGGTGTTAAAAAGGCAGGAAAATGCAGCGCGCTTGCGTTCACAGCAGGGTGTTCAGGGGACCAAAAAAACGTTTTGCTACGTTTTGTGTGCGCTGAACTCGTCCCAGTTCTCCGTAGTTGAAGCACAAGAAAGGACAAATGAACAACACGTTAACAACGTGCAGGCTAAACGCTCCGCCGCTGAAACACGTCAGTGTGAGTTGACGCCGGACGGAACGTTTTGTTTGTTGTTGTAAAACGTGCACGCCCCGTGCCAGGTGGCGCATGGCACTTGTGACTGGTTAGCAGGTCTGTCACACAAGGACGACAACGTCATGAATCTGTATCTGCATGACGGTTTAAAACGGGTCAGAAGTTTAATTAACCTAAATTTTAATCTCCATCTTCACGATTAAGTAAACGCGTTCTTTCAAATGGTTCAGTCTTGATTTTATTCAGCGAGTCTCCTTTCAGGTGGTTGAAACATGTTAGCAGCTGACTCCAGTACGATGCCTCTCGCTTCAGCTGCTTCTCCAGTCTGGGCAGTTTATCGAGCTGATACGCTGACTGCGTATAATGGCGCTTTTCCATCACCGGTACCAGCTCGACTCGACTCGGTTTGGTCCTGCTCCGTTTTCCATTGCAGACAGTACCCAGAGATAGTACGTAGCTTGTCGTCATAGCGACGCCACACACAACACGTAACGTTCAATGCGACACACACACCAGTGATCCACACAGCTTTCTCTTTTTTAAGTTAAGTTTCAACCTCAGAATGTAAAGACAGATAAGCGGTATGAAAACCTTCCAGCAGCCACTAGCGGAGCTCCTCAACTCCGAAAATATTCAAGCACATTTTTGTTCCGCCATCACTTCTCGTAAAACTGTCAATATTGTAAATGTACACAGCTGATTTCACCTCAAAACTTCTCAGAAGTGGATTTAGTGATGAAATAACACTGTTGTATGACTGTAAAATATAAAGCTTTCTGTTGTCTGTTGCAGCAATGATGATTCAGTGAATAGTGAATATTCTCTCTGACCAATCAGACTACAATTTTTCATGGGGACCCGTCAGTAACACCCACAGGTGTCAGTTACACAGGGGACGCTGGGTCCCCTCACTTTTGTTAAAATGTTCTGAAAATGTAAACTAACCAATGACAATGCTTTTAAGAAAGGTTTATTTGCAAGAAAACATGCAATGCATTTTAAAAATAGAAGAAACAGACGTGCACAGTACAAAAAAAAGAAACCAGCTTCTGATCATTTTAGTCTGTTTGATTTTTTACATTTTGAATTGTCTCCTGAATTTTACTGAGGTCAGTTCAATTTTATTTATATTACACCAACTAACAGCAGTTATCTCATGTCGCTTTTCATACAGAGCAGCTCCAGACTCTTGTTTAAAGACACCCGACAATTTTGTGTTTCCCTTTATATAAAAAAACATTTCCACCATAACTTTGTGCAGAAAAGTCTCCAGAATGCAGGAAATCAAGTGTTTAATGCTCAGAATCTTCTTGGAGGACTCCACCCCCCCCCCCCTCATGAATATCAGCAAAACAGTGTTAAAATGTCTTCTCATCGTCACACCTCCAATCTGAGCCCCACCAAGTCCAAACCACTTTTTAACACAAAGTGACCCGACCCCGAACCTGAACCTCATTCATACTGAACCCTCAGATAGCCTTTTTGTGGGGCCCAGCTTCTCTGTTTTGGCCCCCGTGAGTACAGTAAAACAGCCCCTCACACTATAAGCCCCTGTGAGGAAACATCACCTCTGGATAAACATCACCTAGAGCTTGAGAGCTTTATAGCAGCTTTAATACGGATTCTTTATGGATCAGATACAAGCTGCTCAGGAAACATGTTCAGAAGTGAGAAATAACTATATTTAATAATATGGTTGGTGCTTCGCCCAGCACCAACCAAACTCTGTGCATTTTTCTGGGTATTTAAGAAAGTAAATCACAAAAAGTCACATTGTCTTCATTAATCAGATTGTAGTTTTGAGTTGAGCTAAAAGAGATTTTTAACAAGTTTTGCTAAATGATTTATTAACCGTTAGATATGTCTGGTGGTAACAATATTACATCAGTCAAAAGCCCCAGCAGGCGTCTCTGTAGGAATGATGAATGAATGTAACACAACTTCATTTACATCCTCCAACATTTCACAGTCTGAGAACCAGCTGAGATGATTCAGACCTTCATGTCTCCAACTAAATCCATAAACTACACAATTCTGAGTAAAATCTGAGTAAAGAGTCTTTTTAAACTCTGAAACAAGCGGCTGTTTCCTGCAGAGCTGCAGCTTACATCTCAGTTTGTTTAAAAGAAACTGGCTTTTGCTTCAGACCACGCAGACGTTCAAAGGAAGATATTTACTTCTAGATATTATTATATTTACTGATCTATAAAATACCAGAAGAGCACACATTTAGAAGGATGATATAAGAAAGCAGCATCTCTCAAAGATAGAATATTAGACCACAGATGTCAGCAGCAGACACACAAACGTTACGGTGAAATAAAATCCTCACGCGCAGGAACGTGAGAGAGTTTATTTACCTTCTCAGAGGTGCATGAAGAAGAAGACGAAGAAGAAGAAGAAGCTCCAGAGTGGAAAAGCATCAGAAAGTTTTTCAGTTTCAGCTCAGACGGACTGAACTGAGATCAGCTCCACGCTGACGGACACACAGCTTCATCCTCCTCCTCCTCCTCTGGCTGCAGGAGAGCCTTTACATCCTCCAGCCGCCTCTCGCAGCTTTATAGCGGGGGAAGCCTCACACACACACACACACACACACACACACACACACGCCGAGGAGGAGGAGGAGGAAAGAGCGGCCTGCAGCGCCTCCTGCAGGCCGGCCACAGGAAGCACAGGCCGGGCACAGATACATGGAGGAGTCTTACTTCCCAAAGCACCCACCAAACTCTGTGCATTTTCATGGGTATTTAAGAAACAAATCACTAAATGTCAGCCTACGTGTTGGTCTAAAGAAAATAATTTTCACTGCAGCAAGCCAGATATATTTCCAGCTTAGACACACTCGCACTGATCCATTCTTTCACCCACATTCTTTGTCTTTATAATAATAAAAACTCCTGTTCCACATGTCCTCTCTTGACCAAACCTGGTTTGGAGACGAGACAGAGTCGCTGTCAGCTCATGTAGCGTGCGACCTCCTGTCACACAGTGTGAAAACCACGATGACTTCAAGTTTCTACACATTAGTACTTTCACTTGTGTAAAAGACCTGAGTAATTCTTCCACCACACACATAATATAGTGTAGAAATAGTCTACAAGTTTTGGTTTAAGCCAGAAATAAGTAATAACTAGTGTTAACATACACGTTGGGTATTTAGGCTGTGTGTGATATTTCCCACAGCACCTGAACACACCGTATTAGCAAGTCAAACGGTCCCAAAACGCAACAAAACAGTTGTTCAGCCAGGTGAGGCGCAAAGGGGCGGAGTCAAGTCCACCAAAATAAGATAACACACAACTGGAAATTGTTGTTGTTATTTGAGAATAAAAGCACAGCGTGACTCCGTGGATGAGGATCCCAGACTGCCTTCAATCAAACTTTATTAGTACCCAAAAATAAAATTCATTTAATTACGTGAAACACAACAACAAAAATATATTTCAGCTGTTGGGACGGTGTGTTCATGTAAACAAGATTCTGATGCGTTTCCTTTTTCATGAAAAGCTTTACCTGATTAAAACCCACTGAGGCTCCTGATGTGCAGCTGTTTTATTAACAGGATACGTGTGTGCAGGACTTCACACAGGTACACTTGCACACCTGCACATCTGTACATCTGCACATCTGTACATCTGTACACCTGTACACCTGCACATCTGCACATCTGTACATCTGCACATCTGTACACCTGCACACCTGTACACCTGTACACCTGCACATCTGCACATCTGTACATCTGCACATCTGTACACCTGTACACCTGCACATCTGCACATCTGTACATCTGCACATCTGTACATCTGCACATCTGTACATCTGCACACCTGCACATCTGTACACCTGCACACCTGCACATCTGCACATCTGTACACCTGCACACCTGCACATCTGCACACCTGTACATCTGTACATCTGCACACCTGCACATCTGTACATCTGCACACCTGTACACCTGCACACCTGCACATCTGCACACCTGCACATCTGCACATCTGTACACCTGCACACCTGCACATCTGCACACCTGTACATCTGCACACCTGCACACCTGCACATCTGCACATCTGTACATCTGTACAGCTGCACACCTGCACATCTGTACATCTGCACATCTGCACATCTGCACACCTGTACATCTGCACACCTGTACACCTGTACACCTGCACATCTGCACATCTGTACATCTGCACATCTGTACATCTGCACACCTGCACATCTGTACATCTGCACACCTGCACATCTGTACATCTGTACACCTGCACATCTGTACATCTGTACACCAGCACATCTGTACATCTGTACACCAGCACATCTGTACATCTGTACATCTGTACATCTGCACACCTGCACATCTGTACATCTGCACACCTGCACATCTGCACACCTGCACATCTGCACATCTGTACATCTGCACATCTGCACACCTGCACATCTGCACATCTGCACATCTGTACATCTGCACACCTGTACATCTGCACACCTGCACATCTGCACACCTGCACATCTGTACATCTGCACACCTGCACATCTGCACATCTGTACATCTGCACATCTGTACATCTGCACACCTGCACACCTGCACATCTGCACACCTATACATCTGGACATCTGCACACCTGCACATCTGTACATCTGCACACCTGCACATCTGCACATCTGTACATCTGCACATCTGTACATCTGCACACCTGCACACCTGCACATCTGTACATCTGCACACCTGCACATCTGCACACCTGCACATCTGTACACCTGCACATCTGCACATCTGCACACCTGTACATCTGCACATCTGTACATCTGCACATCTGCACATCTGCACATCTGTACATCTGCACACCTGCAGAGTTACTGCAGTCCACTCAGGTAACACTTCTACTTTATGTTTATTCCTGAGGTCCTTGGTTGGTAGTTTTGTTGTGCTGGAGGGCAACATGTTGACGGGTGTCCTAATATTCTGTGTGGACATACGGTGGCCAAAATATTAGAAACACCTGTCAATATAAAGCTGTCCAGGTATCTGATGTCCAATCAGCCCAATTACAAACATGCAGGTAATTAATACCTTTCTGACAGTGTCAATCAAAAGTGAACATCAGGGGTGAGAGAGAGGGAGGGAGAGAGAGGGAGGGAGGTAAAGAGGGAGAGAGAGAGAGGGGGAGAAAGAGAGAGGGAGGTAAAGAGGGAGAGAGAGGGGGAGGGGGAGAGAGGGAGGGAGAGAGAGGGAGGGAGGTAAAGAGGGAGAGAGAGGGGGAGGGGGAGAGAGGGAGGGAGGTAAAGAGGGAGAGAGAGGGGGGGGGAGAGAGGGGGGGGGAGAGGGAGGGAGAGAGAGGGGGAGGGGGAAGGAGGGGAGGGAGGGAGAGAGAGGGGGAGGGGGAGAGAGGGAGGGAGAGAGAGGGGGAGGGAGAGAGAGGGGGAGGGGGAAGGAGGGGAGGGAGGGAGAGAGAGGGGGAGGGGGAGAGAGGGAGGGAGAGAGAGGGGGAGGGGGAGAGAGGGAGGGAGAGAGAGGGAGGGAGGTAAAGAGGGAGAGAGAGGGGGAGGGGGAAGGAGGGGAGGGAGGGAGAGAAAAGGGGGAGGAAGCCTTCATTCTTTAGAACAACTCTCAGCCTGGTTCAAAGAAACACCTTTAATTTGAAATTATTAACCAGAAGCTTGTTACTTCCGCTAATTTGGCAGGATAAAGGCCGCAGAGTTAATGCGGAAGTTTGAAGTCAGTTCAGCAGCAGAGAAACAAAAGTCCAACTTCGCAGCTGGAAACTTTTTCTGCGAACCAGAAGAAACCTGAACGGTGAGTTTATCTCTGAAACCGTCACCTTTCTCTTTATTCCTGCTGTAAAGTAACTTCCGGCTCCAGCAGGTAAGGTTATCAGATTTAAGGCCACCATTAAAAGTTGATGCCAAGCCCCCAACACGCAGGCTCCGGAGGAGGAAACGCCACACGCCAGACTACATTCAAAATTCGGTCTATTTACTTTTTAACGTCGTTTCGTTAAAGCGGTCCTTTATCCACGGAAACACGGAGGTTTAAATTCTCTTCATATTTAACAAAGACTCATTCTTCACTTCGACGTGAAGCATGTGAAGCCAGAATCCTTTGTTAGAATACAGTCTCAGCTTTAAGAGTTAATTCACGTGGTATTCCGCCTCCAACTCTTTCCACCAAAAATGCACAGCGGGTTTGCGGCGGAAAGCGGGTTGTGACTTATAAAAGACGTGATATCGAGAAAATAAACTGCAGCATTGTGGATAAAACATTTGCCGAATGTACTGGAACAAACCACCTCTTACGTTAAAGCCGTAAATAATGTTGTGCTATGCTTCTGCATTTGTCTGTAAGCTATGAATTATTAAATAACTCAACTTTTTAATGAAGTTCGGAGTTTTTATATCACTTTAAGTGAAAAGGGGGAATTTGAGGGTCAGTGTGGTGAAAGGTGACCTACTTGCTGTCAGTCACTTATATTAACCGTCATCCGTGTTTGCATTGTACACCTGCACACCACCTGTGCCTGTTTCACTTTCAAATACTCTTAACTATCCAGAGACAGAAAACGAAACTAGATCTATGTAGTGTACATTAATGAACCTCAAACTGCCAACAGACCTCATCAAGAGGAACTTCTGCCACGTTAGGCACCTCTTCATGTTGCAGAGCTGCAGTTGTTATAAAAAAACATTTGTCATGTTTAATGTTTTAGTGTCTCTGTGTGACAAGAAGTTTTTGTATGTTAAGCTAAAAAAAACAAGGGCGTCACTTTGTGTTAACGTGGCTGGGACACAGGGACTCAGATCAGACACTTATGTTCATGAGAAGGAGACAAAAAGATCCTGAAACAGTGTTTTTAAAGATGTCCTCCATGCAGAGATAGACAACACTTCATCTCCTGCATTCTGGTGAAAGTTTCTGCACCAGTTTATGGTGGAAATGTTTTTATTCATGGAAACAGAATTTCAAGATGTATAAATATAACAATCAAATCTCTCAGGCATTGTGAGAGCTGCACTGTTTCTCCTGTAACATTGTCCCTGCTGAGGCAACAACACATGCAGGCGTGATTTAGTCTCCCCCCCTTTGTCATGTTCACAGGGAGAGAACAGAAAACTTGGTCTAAAAGAAACTGTGTCAACAAGTTGTCAAAGTTACTGACTGCTGCTGCTCATTGTTGTGTTTTTTTTTTTTTTTTTTAAACTTATTTTGGACAGTGCACGCTTGTTTTCTTCTATACTCTAATTGCATGTTTTCTTAATGTTTTAAAGGCATTTTCATTTGTTTAACTGCAAGCTGTATCACAGAACGTATTTTAACAAATAATGCTTTTAAAAAGTGGTGGTGACAGAATCAGAGGGGCGTAAATGACACCTATGGTAAAAAAAATGTAATCCAAGCCATCGCATTAGCCACAACTTTCTTTCTTTGTTTTTAATGTTGTGATCAGAAATTGTGTTGTGTTTTTTTTTTTTTTTTTTTTTTTCCAGACCTGGTTCTTTAAGCGTGTCGAGTGGATTCAGGCTGATACGCCTAAATAATCATGTTTCATCTGGTTCCTCTTTTTAAAGCAGTTTGAGGACTGATTTTGTCAATTTTATCTTGGAAAACGGTGCACACACACGATTGGCTGAGTGCTGATCATGTGATTGTGGTTACCTGCAGTTGGCGTGTTGGGAACCAGCTGCACTGGGTTGTTCCCACGCTGTTAATGTTACTGGTGGACAAAGTGCAGGAGACTTTAGTGTTTCCTGCTGCAGCTTCTTTGAATCTTTAGTGGAGTTTTGCTCAGAGTCCAGAAAACTATTAAATATTATATTTTGTGTGTATATGTGGGGTTAAGTTTTCATAATGAACATTTAATTGTGAGAATTACACAGCAGATCAGTGACTTCTCAGTAACCTGCATGTTCTAAGATGATGATTCTATCAGCTGTGTCTCATTAGAAATCCAGGAAAGCAGCTGTCTGTGTCTAGAAAGGGACTTCAGGTAGGGGGGTTCTCTCTGATCCGGCTCGATCAGGACCTGCAGTTAATTAAAACCGCTTTGAAGCACCAACATGTCCGGACTCCGATCATCTGGCTCACTCTGTTAAAGAAGCTGGCGGATACATGAGCCTGTGTTGCGTTTGAGGACATCTCGGCGAGTCTTTAAGAACTAAATGATGAATTTTCCTCCTGACTTTTTTTTTTTTTTTCCCTGCGTTGAGTCTTGCACACGTTCCCTCGCCATCGTGAGCGTTTATACTGACACTCGCCAAAACGCTGGTTGGCGGTGGCTTTCTGTGTTCCACTGTGTTGACTTTCACCAGCTGAGCCGGCTAACGTCTGCTTTAGCCCTCCGCCCACTTGGCCTGCTGCAGTATTTGTTAAATGTCAGAACAGCATTTTAAAGGAAACATTGTGGGGCTGCAGATCATGGTTTTTCCCCAGGATAAACAATCACACCAGAATTCATTTTAATAGAATAATGATGGAAAAATTATTGTTCGCTCCAATATTTCAGTGAAAATGATCATTAAATCGTTCAGCCTGGGAGTAAAATAACTTTTTACTCTTCTAGACTTTCCAAATGTTATGATTTGAGTCATGTTGTCATGGGTTCTGAAACATTTATCTTTTTAAATATTGTCTTGCTGCAGAGCTGCAACTAACCTTTGTTTATTAATCTGAGTAAGACCCTTAACCCCTCGTCTGACGTATAGCAGCTGTAAGTCGCTTTGGATAAGAGCCTCAGCTAAATGAAGAATTATTATTATTGGCTCAAGCTGATGTCCTCAAATGTCTTGTTTTGTCCACAACCCAAAGATCTTCACTTTACTGTCACAGAGGAAGGATTAAGAAATATTCAGATTTAAGAAGCTGGAATCAGAATCTTTAATATAAAACTGACTGATGGTTGCAACTCTACTGCAGAGACGTCTTTGTTTTTGTACAGATCCATAATTAATTGAAATGACAATGATGTAAAGATGGAGCAGTGGAGAGACCCGGGTTCGATTCCCCACCTTGACACGTCCACCATTGTGTCCCTGAGCGAGACCCTTAACCCCTCGTTGCTCCAGAGGCGTGCGACCTCTGACCTGTACAGCGATTGTAAGTCACTTAAGATAAAAGCGTCCATGTAACGGCGATCGTTCCCTCTAACCTCTCAGATCATATTACAATTAGATATATTCTCAAAATCCTTCAACGCGGGGGGGAAAAACGACAATCGTGCGGCTCTTCCAGACTTTCCAAATGTTGGATCTGCTTCAGAAAAGGTTTTAGTAGAATTTGGCTTGGAGGGAACGTGATGTTAACAAGCTGACCGTTCAGTCTAATCTCCATTTATTAAGTCCCGTCGCTGCGCTTCCCATACAGAGCAGGTCTGGATCTGTGGTTTTGATTCGTGAAGACGTGAAGCTTGTTGTTTCTGCAGGATGTCTGACTGTATCTGTGTGTCTCTGTGTCCTCAGCTCCGTCATGGCCACCCCCAGCGTTTACAGCCCCACGACGGTTTCCAACCCCAAATCCTCCTGCTTCGTCGTCCCGTCAGATCTTCTGGATATAGTCCGCTTTGGGGTCAAAGTCGTTGAAGTGGTGAGTTCAAAGACCCTGAAACCTTCTCCTCCGATCGGAGTGTAGCTGATCTGAATGTGAGCCGGGTAAATGGAAAAATTCAGATAAGCCAGGTGCCGCTGTGAAGACGACACGTTTAAAGGTGGATTCAGCCAGCGAGTCGGCAGAGCAAACAGCATTTATGACCCTATGTGACCGTAACGACCTGAGAAACCAGCCAGGAGCTGATTTTACTGGGATCAGAGTTCCCTGAATCGCCCGTGTTTCCAGAGAGCCCGGCTGTCGGATCTGAACTCGGTGTTTCCATCCGGCTGTTTTTATGCACCAGCTGAAAATGTGTCTGAGTGGAATCCCAGTAAATTCAGAGTCCAGATATCTGAAAGAACAACTAAGAGCTTGTGTAGAAGCAGTGCGTGGCGAGGAAACGCTGCCCAACATGAAGCGGCGGCTGAAAGTAGAAGAGGAGGTCGGAACCTTCCTCAAGGCTTCAGTCGAGATTTAAAAGAACAGTTTTACAGGTTTCTGGGAGTTTGTTCTTATGGGGGGGTGATGGCGCAGTGGATGAGATGCATGCCTTTGGTGTGAGAGACCCGAGTTCAGGCGTGCGACCTCTGACGTGTACAGCAGCTGTAAGTCGCTTTGGATAAAAGCATCAGATAAATGTTCCGGATAGATGAAGCATAAAAACTGAACGCTGCTTCTCCAGGTTTAGTTTTGACTCTGGGGACAGAAAGCAGAGCTGATCTCAGACCAGCTGAGAGGTCTGGATGGTTCAGAACTAAGCAGAAGATCAGAAACTATTTGGTGCTTTATAAACCCACAGACAGGAAGCCAGTGTGAAGACCTCAGAACTGGAGTGATGTGATCCACCTTTCTGGTCTTAGTGAGGACTCGAGCAGCAGCGTTCTGGATCCGCTGCAGCTGTCTGATGGATTTCTTAGGGAGCCTGTAAGGACACTGTAGTCGAGTCGACTGAAGATAAATGCATGGACAAGTTTTTCCAGGTCCTGCTGAGACATTAAGACTTTGTCTGCTTAAATTCAGTCCATGATTACACCAAGACTTCTGGTCTGTGGTCCTCAACATCACCGACTGAAGCTGAGCGCTGACTTCTAATCGTTCTTGCTTGGCTCCAAAAATAACAACTTCAGTTTTATCTTTGTTTAACTGAAGAAAACATATTACACGTGTCCATTAAAAGGAGCCTCTCGGGCCCCGGACCCCCCCAGTCTCTCCACATCCTGTGGGAAACACTGAGGAAAAGCTCATTTTGACTATTTTATTTATGCAGTTGTTTAAAAAAAGCAAAATAAATGGAAATAATGTGAAAAACCTTGTTTTTCATTATTTTCAGCTTCAGCCAAGAATTTTCATTTCAGTGCATCCCTAGAAAATCTATTTCTTTACTCAACGTCCATGAAGACAAAGTTTACCTTAAATTAGTATTTTGACAACCAAGAAATGTGCAGAGCAAGATATTTTACAATAAAGCCGCCGCCACTCAAACTATTAACCTGTTTCTAAAAGCATCTCTGGCTTTTCTACACTGCAGCTTCTTGTCATTTATCAGCTGAAACACAAACTCAGTCAGTTAAACCGTCTCCTGACATCATCCGTCATAGAGATACCTGAGTGCGTCGGCTCAGCAGGACGCTTTCTCACCTGCGTGTTTCAGTTCACGTCTTTATTGCTCGGCGTGAACGCAACCTGCTGCAGGCGGTTAGTCCTCTGCGAGTCTCGGCAGGTCGGCTTGCTTGGAAATGAGAGGAAGTTGCCTGCGAGGACAAACAGGACAGACGGATCTGAAGTCACTCGTCTGAGACCAAAACAACACGAGCCGGTTTTTACACCTCGCACAGGAAGTGAGCTACGCAGACGTGCTGGTGTCAGACCAGACAAAGCAGTCTGACCTGCTTTGTCTTTCATCTTCTACTTTATTGATCCCTGGGAACAAATATAAAGTAGAAGAAATGGGAAATGTGTTCTCTGGTCCCGGAGCCAAGACCCCACCGCCTGCCGCCTCCTGTTCAAACATGGCTGTAATCGCAGAGCCTGGTCGCTGCAGCTTGTCCGGGGGAATCCCCGCTAACGCCGGATGCAGCGGCGCCTCGACGCTCGTAAAGCGAGTCGACGTATTTACGTAATCGATTGTGTCGACGAATCGAATCTAGTCAGAGTTTACTTGGGCGCCGTGTGGCTCACCGCACATGCTCTTTACAGAGGGACAGATGCACGTTTACAAATATGGCACAAAGAGAATAACAGAACTTGTTTGCAGGTGTCGGCGGTTTTGTCGGCGTCCCGGGGGGAAACCGTTTAAGGTCCCGTCCCTGTCGCCTCAGTAATTTCCTCAAACGGCTGCTCGCTCTAGTTTCTGTCAGACAGGAGGAAATGGTGCATCTGTTGGGAACTACTTTCAGCGGCGGATGAATCTGGACGGTGTCTGTGGGCCTGAGTCAGAATAAACGGCCGCGTGTGTTCATGGCGATGAAGAAACACGACGAGGGTTTGACGGTTTCTGCGGCTCGGAGGAAGAGGAGCCCTGACCCCTCGGTGATCTTCCTCGTCTAGCAGCTCTCCAGGAAGCTGCAGACGGGGAAGTGAAACTGCTGCAGAGCCGACGGTTTGGGAGCAGAGAGCTGTCGTTTGCAGATCTCAGAGCTGCTGACCGTCCGCTGTCGCAACAGTGAACAGATGGGGGGGTGGCGAGGATCCGGTCTACATGCTGCTCACATCAGTGAGCGTTGCAAAAAGAGGATCTGCAGGGAGGGAGGACGCTGCTGAGAAAGCTCCCTGCATGAGGCGTCGGCTGCTCTGACGATTCAGTTTACAGTTGTCTGCCGTCACTGCTCATACAGAGCAGGTCTAGACTGCACTGATGTATCAACACAGACCCAACAGTTAACACCATGAGCAGCAAGAAAGACTTTCATTTTAGCAGGCAGACGAACTTTGAACAGAGCCGTGACTCTGAGGCTGTGTGAGCAGGTCAGGGGTAAAGTTTACATAACGTTAGGTTTACTCATTTGGCTTTTTTCCAGAGCGACTTAGATTTGTGGAACAACGTACAAGCATCAATACAGTCAGATCTACAGGTGACGACAGATGGCAGGAAGAGCTGTTGGCGTGTGCAGCATCAGAGGGGGAAATAACTCTTACTACTTCCTCCAGGTAACAAACAGTGCAATCAATACAAGAGAACTGAGAGGGGACAGAAGAAGAGCACATGCAGGTCAGAGGTCAGAGTTATCAGAAGAAGTGTTCTCTGTAGGGTTTCTGAGCCTCTTGAAGTCAGAGAGGGACGCCGCTGCTCTGATGGCGTGCGGCAGCTCGTTCCACCATCGTGGTGTCACAGATGAGAACAGGGACTGAGGTCGCTTTGTGTGAAGGGAGGCAGAGCCAGGCGGCGTTTGTCGCGCAGTGACTCAGAAGGAACGTAGGCTTGGATTATGGAGTTTAGGTAGATGGTGCAGACGCAGTAGGAGCTCTGGATGCAGCAGCAGGGACTTGGGGATCGCAGACGATGATGTCCGCAGTGATCTGTGATCAGGAGAAGCGTCAGCTGTGCCGACGCCTGCGGGGACGTGAAGCTGACTCTCATCAACACGTTGATCAGCTCCTCGCCGCTCAGCTGGATTTTAGCAGCTGGTCTCAGTTTACTGATGCTCGGTGCTGCGTTCCAAACTGCTCGGAAACTCGGAATTTTCCAAGTTGAAATATCCGACTGCCGACCTCCAGGTGCGGGACGCAGGAAGTGAACATGGCTGACGGTGTGCGCACACTGTGCAGAGAGCTGAACGCTCACTTTGTCAGTTTTAATGAAAACCACATGTAGTTGACTGTGTTCCCGTCGAGCTACATCAGTCGGTAATCGGTCCCCAGAAGTCTGTAAATGTTGTGCGTCCTGATGTTTTTACATCTTTCTTTTGCAGAAAAGACGACGTTCAGAGATTCTTTAATGCAGCCGTCGACCTTTACATGCAGAGCAGGTTTTACTCTATGATCAAAAGTATTATTGAAATGAAATGCAGTGAAATATACTCTGATCTTTCTGGACAACAGCGCGTGCCTCCATGGGTGCAACATCAGTCAGCTGCTTCTGCGTCTCGTTAGAAAACGTCCTAAACAAAAGCTGCACTCATTAAATGTGCAGCAGAAAACGCGGTCCTTACTTTTTATGTGACTTGTGAAAACCCCTGAATTCACTTCTTTCCCTTTGGGTCTGGAGCCAAATCTCTTGGCTGGTGAGCAGACTGGCATAAAGTTTGCTAATAATGCTGCAGCTCCTGCAGGATGAATCCTAACGATCCTCTCGCTTCATCTCAAGTCAAAGCTGAATTTCTCAGTTTGTCAGTCTTTAATCGAGCGTCTCCTCAGGAGGAAATGGACGTTTTTTTACTGTTTTCAGTCCCTCAATGTTGAAATTTCCCAGAACTGTTTTGGGTGAAATTGTGGTTGATGCAGGAAAAACGATTTAAAATAAAGTTGTCACAGCTCAAACGAGTTTTACTGCAGGAGGTTTAAGTGTTTTGCACGGAAGGTTTCTTAATGAGACTCCAGTGTGAAACAGGAGGTGACGATGCATTTAACTTTATATTTACACCTCTGAAAAGCGAGAAAGGTGCGTTGGAAGTCGGTCAAAAGATGCAAAAAGTTTCCAGAGTGCAGGAGTTTGTTTGCATATTTACATTTCCAACACTTGATGTCTGGTGAATCCAGTCAAATGGGTGCATGAAACAGAAAAACAGTGACATAAATCCAAAAGATCAGATGTTTCAGGATAACTGTGGGTGAGAAATGTACTGAAGTACAACTTTTGAGGTACTTTTTACTTTGTGTCCGGTTAAAGGCTGTAGAAACTGTTATCCCAAACACCATCTGTGTTCAACTTCCCCAAACGAGCTCCACACAGACCGAACAAGAAATAATGTCAACAGGGACGCCGCAGCTTCCTCGGATTGTTCGACCCGACGTGTGAAGTCAGATGTCACCTGACCTCCTTGGACAAATAACCGGTGACCTCTGACCTGCTCTGTGAGATTTATCTTCTTTCAATTAACAAAGTCTTTTGAACACAAACCCGTCCGGAGGATCTCTGTCAGCCGCGTGTTAATGAAAATCCTTAAGAGAAGCACTTTACACAAACCTGCGTAATGCATGAACTTCTGCTGGAGTGCTTTTGCTTTAGAGTAGAAATACCACGAACATGAGAGAGATGGTAGCTGCAGCTCAGAGGGAATCAGACCTCAGTCTGCTGCAGCAGCTCCAGCGAGTTTCAGTCACCGTGGTTTAAAAGAGCAGTCTGTATTTTAGTTCAGCTGACGTCAGACTTATTTTAGCTCTGTGGTCCGGCTCTCCAAACTCTCCTTTAAAACATTCCTACAATAAAAGTCCAAAATAGACAGACAGCAGAGGAACTCCGTCTGTGTCCCCCGGCCTGCTCGCCCTCCAGACTGTGCCGGTTCCCCTGGTCGACCCCGGCGTGAACCAAACGCCAGAGACGCTTGTTGTTGTATGAATTCTTATTTGAACACGCTTGCGCCTCTCTGCAGTTGGTTTTTGCTCATTAACTGGGCAAACATCTGGATTTGCAGCTGACGCAGTGAACTGCATGATCACAGATGTTGGAGCTGAAACGCAGTGAAGAGCTGGATTTAGTCAAACGTTAGAAACTGAACAGCGAGCTGCTTCGGTGTTTTTAAACTGACGCACAGCGAAAATGCAGCAAGCGGTAACGAGTTTCCTGTCGGTCATTAAACGCTCTGTCTGTTGGTGAAGCTGCGATCCTGCAGCGCTGAGCAGTAACGTGTTGGTGTCGGTCGCTCTGCTGCCACACCGCCAAAAAGGGCGCTAAACAGCGACGCAGAGGGGTCTTGGCGAAGCATCTCCTCAGCGTGGTTATGTTGTAGATATGGCCAATAAAACGATGATGAAAATCGCAATATAATTTTCCTCGAAGAATAAATGTTTAAATTGAATCAAACTAATTATGACTTTATTTTTTTTATTAAATCTACTAAGATCTTGTCACAATAGTTCTGAATGTTCTGCCTCAGATTAGTGAAGTGATCCACTGGTGAAAAGGCCGGTTTTTCCAAGACTACTCACTCGGGGGGGGTGATGTGATGTGTCTGGCGTCCTGCTTCTTCTTCCTGCTGACTCAGTGTGGTTCAGACACACCCCGGAGGAACACAAACGCACAGTTTGGAAGCAGCAGCCGCCGCCCACACAGCTGAGCGGTTCCACCACAACAGTCAACACACACACACACACACACACACACACACACACACACACACACACACACACACACACACACACACACACACACACACACACAGCTGCAGCAACCACATGTGTGTTTTTTGTGGCGTGTTTTACAGTCTAGATGTAGACAGGAAACGGGGCTTTACTTTTCATGTTTACGCACCATCGTCACATTTTAGAGGCTGAGACTGAGTTAATTGCAGGATTCACTGGTTTCTGTTGTGAACGGTGTTCCTTTTTGTTTCGGGCCTCTGACACCAAAGAGCTGTAAAAAAAGATCGCTGTGAAAATGTTTACTTTGAGGAGAGCGATACAGCGGCTGTTTCTCTTCTCATAACACTGTGAATTAAAGGTTTATTTCCCCCAAACAGGAGTTAGTGATTGTTGGAACAGTGGACAGACTAACAAAGACGGCATTTGGGAGTTTTATTGTGTTTGAAGTTGTTTTTGTTTTATGAACAGTGGGTTAAATTCCTGTTTTTCTCTATGGAGTCTGGTGGAGCCGGAGCGTTGGTTTGTTTTGGTCTTTGCTGGTGCTCTTGGGGAAGTGACCGTCTCTTACAAGCTGCTTTGAGTGAAAGGAAAAACATCAGGACTGACATTTTAAACTTGTTTAGAAAAGCAGAATCAAACACTTTTTGAGGTGTGAACGTGTATCAAACAAATGTGGAGGCAGCGTCACTATAAAAACACGAGATTTAGACGAGTCCAACCAATCACACACCTCGCTCCTGGTCACAAGGTGGAGCAACGTGATCCCGATCACCTGAGACGGGCGGCTCCGCCTGTGGAAGCTGCTTCACAATTAACAAAGAGTCTCGGGACCCAGCGGTCGACGTTAAGGACTTTTCTGTTGTTGACTCAGATCCAGTAGTGATGTGATAAATGGTGAGAAGCCTCACAGCATCAGTCTGTGGGCGGAGTGTCCTCAGCAGCACTGATGATGGCGTTTGACATCTCATCGCAGTACGTCGCCGCAGAATGCGTTGATCTGTTCGGTTGTCCTTGATTTTGGGGCTTCTACTATGGTATAGTATGCTTAGTTAAATTGTTCTGACTGACTTCCTGCCAGGTTCATCTGGGGGTGAGTTCAGCGCAGACAAAGCGTGGTAAAAGGAAACGGTGGTACCCTGCTGTACTGCATTTTCCCGCTTTTATAACACTGTTTACAAACTTATTGCAGCTGGTTGGGTAACAACTGTGACACGCCCACCAAACAACCGAAGAAAACCATACCTCGAAGCCCGTCGTTTGATCCAAAAACGTTGCGGGACGTCGTGAGATTGAACTCACCCCTGCTTTGTGCTGCTCGTCACGGCCTGTCAAAAATAGACCTGGCAGTGAATATTGAATTAAAAAATAATCATAATCACAATATCTGGCAGAAAAATCGCAATGGATGGAGTTTCGCTCCGGCTTTGTTTCGCGTTTGAATCTGTCTTTGTTCTGCTAATTTGTTCGCCTCTTAAATCAACGCTGGACACGCCCACAAAAAACTCGATATAAAACACTACGAGTATCATGTTGTTACTTTTAATGTTTACTATCACTACCACAGGAAAAAGCTGAGGCAGTCAGTCTAACCGGACACCCGGGCTACGAATCACAAACCAAGGCTTCATCACAGAACACGACCAATATCAAAGGAAAAACAAGACGGCCTCCAAACGCTACAGTGATAACTTAGTCTTTTTATCTTTGTTTTACCAACTTCTCCTAGTTTCTTTTAATTTATGGAGGTTTCAAACATGAAACAAGGAGATGCCTTGTCGACCTGTCAATCAGCTTGTAGCCCCGCCCTAAAGCCTCCCCTGCTTCCTGGTCTCTGTTCCTCTAAATGGGACCATAATTTACTAAATGAACATCATGCTGTTTTGAAGAAGACTTGAAACTAGAGACTGAGACCATAAACAGGATTTTTGCAGCCGCTGGAGTCGCCCCCTGCTGGCTGCTAGAGGACGCAGGTTTAGGTCGCCCCCTGCTGGCTGCTAGAGAGGACGCAGGTTTAGGCCGCCCCCTGCTGGCCGCTAGGGGGAGGACGCAGGTTTAAGTCGCCCCCTGCTGGCTGCTAGAGGACGCAGGTTTAGGTCGCCCCCTGCTGGCTGCTAGAGAGGACGCAGGTTTAGGCCGCCCCCTGCTGGCCGCTAGGGGGAGGACGCAGGTTTAAGGCGCCCCCTGCTGGCCGCTAGGGGGAGGACGCAGGTTTAAGGCGCCCCCTGCTGGCCGCTAGGGGGAGGACGCAGGTTTAAGGCGCCCCCTGCTGGCCGCTAGGGGGAGGACGCAGGTTTAAGGCGCCCCCTGCTGGCCGCTAGGGGGAGGACGCAGGTTTAAGGCGCCCCCTGCTGGCCGCTAGGGGGAGGACGCAGGTTTAAGTCATGGGCTTCACTTTTCAGACCTGGGGGGGGGGGGTTCCTGCTTGGACCCACACCTGCGTAGAGTCAGGTGAGGGTCCACATATTAAATGCTGCTCCCGATAATAACCTTCTGTTTCCCGTCTCTCTGTCAGCTGCTGTCCTTCGTGGCCTTCATCCTGGAGGAGGTGGTCAACAGCTGCTTAAGCTGCAACGCTCTCTACTTCTTCGAGTTCGTCAGCTGCACGGCCTTCCTCTTCACCCTGCTGCTCCTCATCCTCCTCTCCACCACCCTGCACAGCAAGGTCGGCATCTCCTGCTGGCCCAAACTGGTAAGAGCTCACGCCTGTTTTCATTGAACCTGCCGAGGATCGCCTGAGGCTACTCTGTCCCTACTAACAGCTGCTGTCCTCCGCCGCCCCCTCTGCTTCGTATTGTTCCCTCCACGTGCTGAGAAACCCGTTGGTTCTCTTTCCTGCTGACAGTTGGATGTTGACAGAGATGCCTAAAACATGAAGCTGCTTAGCATAAAGACTGGACAGAGCCACTTAGCGTTTACCTGCTCGGTCAGTCGGTCTATAGAGGCCACGGTGACCAGCAGTCCAAAACGCTGAGATTCAGTTTACTGAGATACAAAGAAAAGCTGCACACGTCTCGCCTGAGGAACTGAAGCAGAGAATGCTGCCGCTTGAAAAATGACTGATTAACCTGTCATTTCTGTTGATTATTCAACTAACCGTTACAAGGAAACAAAATCCACCTGTCTGCACCTCTAAAGTCACTAATTAACACAACTCTCTGAAGTGTAAAAACAAATCACCGTAATGGAGGCACTTTTACTCAGTGGTTCTCAAAGCGGGTCCATGAGGGGCCAATACTTCATAAACCGTATGAAGGCTAACAAAATGTCTTAAAAACAAATCAAAAGGGATTCGTGTTTAAATTTGTCAGTTTAAGGTCTTTAACATGAAAAGGTTTGAGACGCTTTGAGCTCTCCTGTCATGACATTAAACATGTATTGTTCATACGAAGGCCGGGCGATACGGCCAAAAATGAGATTTATTTTTTATTTATATATTCTTTTCCTTAGTTTGGTTGCTGAGGTCTTTTATGCAACGGTTTAACACACTTAAGGGATTCTTTAAGTATAAGAGCAAGATAAGGAGAAAACCTCAAATACTTAAGTGGATATTTTAAAGAAACCTTAAGGGGAAGAAAATTTACATTTCCTGAGAAGAGACTTCTGCCACCAGGAGAATCCTTTTGTTTTCTGTTATTTGCAGATCAAAGTTTTTCTTTTTTTTATGAAATTCCTCCTCTGACCAATCTGCTTTTCTTGTCGTCTTTTCTTTCCAACTTTGTACGGTAACAACGGGTCAAGTGCTGGTGCAAGATAAAGTCTCCATGGTAACAGAATTTTACTACTGTAAATTCAAATTAGCTTTAATGGCATGAATGTATAGCAACAATATTGCCAAAGCTTATTATGTATAAAGAACACAAGGACATACATTTCTTTAGATAAGGGAATAAAACGGCAAAAGTTTTGTGAATACAAAATAAAATAATAAAAAATATAAATTCCATACAAACATTTTAAAATAAGTGTGTAAATAAAGCGTGTGTGTAAAGTGTTCGAAAATGAAAATAAATTTTTTTTTTTTTTTAAATACAGTAAATGATCCAGTAATGTGTGAATTCTCTATCGATGCAGCAAACACCTTAATGCTTTTCCTTAACTAGGGAAACCTTTAAAGGGATTCTGTGCAACACCCTTAAGTAAAAAGCTAAGGCGAAATTAAGACTTCAGTATCATACTTAAGAAAACAACTTTGAGGTTTTTTGTGCAACCGGCCCCTGAGCTTTTACAGAGTCTCGCTCTCCTGATGGCGCTCATTTATTCTGTCTTTCTACTCGTTCTGATAGGCCGATATCAGGGCTCAGTCCACGTGTTTGACTGTCGGGGGAAAATGCACAAAATGCTGTGTGAATGTGCATTTCTCAACACCGTGATACGCCAGCAGCGCCCACGCCACACTTTATGGAAACAAGATTACTGACAGATATTTATAACTTTAGTGAAACCAGAGCAGGTGACTAGACGGAGCGCATGTTTGCATCCTGACTCTACATCTGTCCACTGCAGAGTCTCAGCCCACAACCTGGAGGTGCGCTAGTATAAATATCAGTATAATAAAACGTACAGACCATGTAATGATGTTCCTACGTTACTATATTCATAATAATTTCATATTAGTATACTACAGACAGACGGCCGTCCTGTACATGAAGGATGTTGTTTATAGGACTTATTTTCCTGTCTAGAGTTCGGTTATCAGCACACTGCTCATAAATCAGTTTTTATGAGGGGCACATGCGAGAGCCCGGTGTGGGCGTGTTTTAATTAAACTGCACAGGGTGAATATAATCGTGCAGCCCAAGCTGACATGTCTGTGTTCAGGCGGCCCTGTTTTAGACCTGACTCTAGATCTGCTCAGCGTCGGGAGGATGATGCATTTCCTGTGATTTTTAAAATAATCCTACTTTTGAGTGGCGACGGACATTTCACAGCAATAAACGATGCACGTAACACATTCTACGGGACGTTGTACCTGTTCACAATGAGTAAAGGTCAGGACACAAACGCTCACATCGAGGCTTTATTGGGGACGCAGTGGATAAGACGCATGCAAGAGACCCGGGTTCAATTCCCACTGTGTCCCTGAGCAAAACACTGTGTTTAAAAAGTATTCTTCAGACACGCTGATAATCTGGACGCATCGTTCACAACCAGTCTGTTTGTCGCTGGGCTTCTTCTTCTTCATGAAGCTGCTGCAGGCCGCCGCCGTGGCTCTGCTGGATGAGGGCGCGCCATCGCTGTTGATCAACGCCACTTCCTGTTGGACTGGGATCCGTAGATGGGGTTCATTCACCCGCGTGGATCTTCCGCACGTCTCTCCTCCGGCTCGCCTGAAACAAACAGACACAGATTGTGTCATTGGTACTTTCCCCGTCTGCACATGCTCAAATGTAAGAACCAGATTAGACACGTGGTTACAGGGAAGAGAAGCTCAAGTTCTGCTGGGGGGGGGGGGAGAAAACACAGCGTCCTTGTTCATGGGAAAGGAGCCGGGCGGGAGACGCCCACATTCCTGGAAGATGAGTCCATAACAGACTGCTCGTGTAGTAGATAAACCTTCAAACACATTAATCTGCAGGTCGGGGATGGAAAGTAACACCTGCAGCCAAATGTTATCATTTCTCTCTGACAGTAATTAAGCAGCAGGCCGGCGTTCTTGCTGGTTGTGTGTCGCACTTAAATTGAGTTGGGTGACACAACGTTGTGCTGCCATTTCTCTTCCTACTGATAGCTGGATTTTTATTTTTTTAGGCCACTGGGAATATTCGGTTTGAGTTTTGACCCTTTGGGGTTGCTGTAGCTGGTGTGTGTGTGTGTGTGTGTGTGTGTGTGTGTGTGTGTGTGTGTGGAGTGCAGAGGCAGCAGATCAAGACAGTGAAGTTAGCAGCTCTTTTTTATTTCACACAGAGCTCAGGAAGCATGTACTCTGCACAGTGTGTCACTCAAGATGTTCAGCATGTGAAGCAAAATGTGTAGTTTAACATTGTATTTTCGCGATGCTAATGTCCGTTAGCACGTTAATGGAGATTCCCATTATATGTTAGCATTAAGCTAACCGTAGAACGCCTTTTAAAAAATTAATATTGCGTATCGATATGATGGGCTGGAGTATCGATACAGTATCATGGAAAAATGTCCAACGATATATTTCCGTATCGATTTATTGTCACACCTATTTCTGATGACGCAGCGTGGAAACGAGCGCGGAACAGAATCCGCTGCTCGTGTGTTCACTGGTCATATACTGACCTTCTGCTGTGCGCCGGATGTTGAACTGTCGTCCGGAAAGTCCTCCTTCCCGCTGCGCTGTATGTTGGGGTAGCCACGTCAGGTTTTAGTCCAGGTAGTCCTCTAGTGAAGCGGATTGGCTCGTGTCTAAAGAAAAGCACAGAGCTGCACCAGTCTGGACCGGGTCCTGGAGTCCGACGTGACGAGGCAGCACAGAGTCCTGCTGAATCTGAACCTCACCAAATGTTCTCAAACTCTGCAAATGTCCGTCCAGCGGAAGCAGCACGTGGACTTCATGGAAGCGCGTCTCTCAGGTGAGGCGAGGACTTCCACAGCCCAGAGTGTCCGCCGTCACAGCGCCACTTCACCCTCATCTGTGCGCCCGAGTGGAAAAGCTCCTTCTCCACGATTGGCCGCCCGCACGTCTGACACATCCTGAAGAGCTCCATCAGGCTGCGGCTGTAAACGACGGCGCAGTCCTCGTCCTCGTCAGACTCGTCAGACGCCGCCACCGAGCTGAACTCCGGCTCTGAGTGGAAGCTGTCCTCCTGCGGGTCGACAGACACCACGATGCAGAAGCTTTCGTCTGCCGCCGCCGCCGCCGCCGCCGGGGCGGACTGCGAGGAACTCCCTGCAGCTCCGCAGGCCGTCTGAACACAAGAGCCAGAGATACAAGAAACACTTGATGCCGAACAGTGGATCACTTCAAACTACTATAATAAACTTTCACAGACAAATATGCACGAGTAGAACTGAGTAAACATTTACTAACAACATTTTATTGCCCCGCCTACAGCGTGGGCTGTAGATGCAGTGCAGCGGTTGTCAAAGGGGTCCATGAAGGGGTTCCTAGGGGTCCTCAGCAAAAAAGGAAACTTATATTCACTATAATTGCATCCATAACAAACAGTGAGGAACTACTTTGGTGATCAGTTTCATACACTGTCTGTAATAAGACATCTAAAAGCCTAAATCTTATCAAACGGGGGTCCCGGTCTTATATTGTGGTAGATTTAAGGTTCCTTGATGTGAAAAAGTTTGAGAACCACTGTCATAAAGGGGCCCCTGACTCCCTGCACCCGGCCCTTTAGTCATTTACGCTGTCACATGTCGCCACCACTTTTTAAAAGCCTTTGTTAAAATGGTCCTGATAAATTGCACCAAGAAATATTAAATGCTTTGAGGTTTATTCACACAATAAGACACATGCAGTGTAGAGATGTAAGAAACAACTGCGCAAAAAACAAGTTGCTGTTGATTTTATATTTTGTATTACCACCTTCCCTTTTTATAGAAAGACATTTCAACCATAAATCTTTGCAGGAAATGAAGTTTTTAATGCTCAACATCTTGTGGGAGAGGAGCCTCAGAGACAGTAGTGAAAATTTATTCTAATGTCTTGTGCTTTTGTTCTTGTGAGTCCATCTGTGCATCACTGCAGCCCTAATCTGAGCTGTTCAGGGCCTCGCTAGCTGTCTGGAATGAAGGTTACCTGCGCTCTGCTCCTCTTGGGCGGCGGCGGCGGGGACGCGTCGCTGCTGCCCGGCTGGCCGCGCTGCTTCCCGGGGAACACGGACGGCACGGCGCCGCTCTTCAGCGTCGGTTTGGGCGTGACGTTCAGGATCTTGGCTCGGAAGTCCTCCTCGTAGTCCTCGGGTTTAAAGTGCAGGCTGCACACCCGGACCCCGCTGTACTTGGAGACGGGCGTGTCCTCGTCGAACCTCGGGTTCTGGATCGCCTTCAGCCAGGTCCTGCAGCGCTGCGGGTCCCGCGTCGGTAGCCCGTGAAACACGACCCCCCTGGACTTGGCCTCCTCGTAGCCTTTACAGCCGGGGACGCAGCACCGCCACGGCATCGCTGCTGCGCCCAGACGACAGAATATGAAACGCGGGAAAGAAGCGGCAGATAAACTGCGAGTAGTTTCACGTGCGGACAGCGCAGAGTGTCTGAAACGGGCCCTGAACGCAGCACGTTAGCAGAGGTGCTAACAGTTAGCAGCTTCCGCTCTTCTTCTTCTACTAACGGATTAGCGGCAGGCTGGACGCTGCGAGGCGCTCTGCTGCCCCCGCAGGCCGCTGTGCATACAGTGGTGGTTGAAACAACTTTAAATTTGCTCCTCCAGTAAATTAGAAATTATTTTCAGAAGGGGGAAAAATAATTTAATTCTTTAGGAACAAATTTATATTCAGTTTTATTTAACCTTTTATGTAAACAGGGAAGTTAAGCACACACGAATACTATATAATAGAGTTGTTTTGCAGACATTTGTAGTTGGTCCCAGAATTTGGGGGGGGGGGGGGCACATGGATATGTGAATGCTATTTATGACTTTTTTTATATTTATATCCATCTAATAAAAACAAATAATTATTAAATGTATCATCTCATGCTGGGCGGCACGGTGGTCCGGTGGATAGCGCTGTGGCCTCACAGCAATAAGGTTCAAACCCCGGTTGCCCCGGCGTTTCTGCGTGGAGTTTGCATGTTCTCCCCGTGTCTGCGTGGGTTCTCTCGGGTGCTCCGGCTTCCTCCCACCGTCCAAAGACATGCGGTCTAGGTGGGTAACCCTGGATTGTCCTTAGGTGTGAGGTTTACTGGTTGTTTGTCTCTGTGTGGCCCTGCGATGGACTGGCGACCTGTCCATGGTGTACCCCACCTTTCGCTCGATGCCAGCTGGGATTGGCTCTGCTTATGTATGCAGGATAAGCAGTTGAGGATGGATGGATGGTCATTTCATGCTTTCCAAAATAATAGTCTGATTTAAAAAAAGTAGAAACGCTGTTGGCAGACAAACTGATCTTCACTAAAAAGAGCGCAGTCCTTCGCCGCTATATCTAATGTTTAAGCTTGGAGCGTTGGAGCTGCTGGTAGTTTTGAGCTGTGGGCCGAGCCCGGCTAGCTGTTTCCAGGCTTTATGCTAAGCTAAGTGGACATGAGAGCGGCGTCGACCTCGACGTCTGCTTCTCGGAGAGGAACTGAAAAGCATTTTAGGGTGCAGCAGGTTGTGTTTCCACACAGTGAACTTGAAGAGCTGCTGCTCTTCATCATCTTCTTCTCTTGCAGGACTTTGTGTACACCATTGGCATCGCTCTGCTGTTCCTCATCGCCTCCATCGTTTTTGCTGCAGACAACAACAACACGACGATGGAGAGAAGTGCTGTGGTAAGAAAACATCAACCCTGTGCAGGATACGCTGATGATACTGTCCTTTCCTACCATCTTCTTTTCTTCTCTACGTCATTTTTTTTTTTGTAACTTAATTTGGTTTTTTTACCTTTCCTTCCTCCTCTCTACCCCCTTCTTTCCTCTTTTTCTTCTCTACCTCCTTCTTTCCTTTCCTGCATACTTCCCTTTGTTACCTCATCTTTTCTGTCCTACCTCGTTTCCTTCTCTACCTCTTTATTTCCTTTCGCTCCTACTCCTTTCCTTCCATATGCCGATTTCTTTTCCCACCACCTGCTTTTCCTCCCTTCCCCCTACCCTGCTCCTCCTTTCCTTCTCTACCTCCTCATTTCTTTCCCTGCCTCCTATTTGTCCTTCTCTGCCGTCTCATTTCCTTTTCCTATCTCTTCCTCCAGGCGTTTGGCTTCTTGGCGACGGCCGCGTTTGCCGTGGACCTCATGTTGTTCGTGAAGGCCAAGGGGTTTCCCTTTAAGGAGGATGGGACGCCGGACACGAGGAACGGCGGTACGGGGGCGGTGGAGGCTCAACCAGAGGCGGAGAAACTCAACACTGAGGCCAACGGAAATTAAGTCTTTTTGTTTTCAATATTTGTTTGCTGCGCTCAGAGGTCAGAGATCACTTCACGCACTATTCCTTTAACACGGAGGCGGAGCTTCAGCTCGGCTGACTTTTTTTTTTTTTTTTTTTAAATCCTGTTTTTAGTCCTCGATTCCCAAAGCGGAGGACGATCTGTGCTGACATGTTATCAATATAATCCATCATCCAATAATGAATCGATGACGGTGCGGAGCGTCTGTCGGCGTGGGACGTTTTAAATAATTGATCTTAAATGTTTCCACCTGCTTATTGACGACTTTAAACAATATTTTTTTAAGGAAGAACAGACACTAAAATAACAGAACCACTAAATATTCTGCTGTTAAGTTTAATTTTTAAGATTTTCACAGATGATGTAGAGACAATAAATGGATTTATTGTCTGTCGATTTAGCTTCAGGACTTTTTTTTTTTTTTTTATTATTTTTAAAGGTTTTGTTTATTGAATATCATGAAATTTATCAACACATTTAGTCTTAAATGACAAATGAAATCAAATCCTGTGTCATGAAATTCACAAATTACTGACAATGAAAACAAGTCAATGTTTAAATCTGAGGGGTCACATGATTAGATGAGATTCTTTTCTCTCTGTATATTTTTAGTGTGAAATACTGGAAACTTTTACTTCGGTCTGCAGAAATCTTTTAATGAAACAAACCAAAGCTTATCTCGTCCCCATGCTATGAATTTTCCCTAATCCGCTCAGGCCCTGAACGCCTCACGAATGTTAAGACGATTTGGTGCCGAAATGAAGAAACGACACTCAACAAAGCAAAGAAGTTTTATTTTAATGTCCTGATGGACAGAAATGAACATGACCGTTTCACAAAATGAGTCCAGTCCGAACGTGTCTGTTTGTACACAGACGGCCAAAAGCTTTCGTGTTAAATGTCCGCGAGTTAATTATTCTACTAATGTGTTCAACAGGTGATCATTGCACATACTCAAAATATTACTGACTCTGACACGTAAAGGCCAGTTTATACTTCTGCGTCGGCTCCCTGCTGTCATGAGCATTTCTACTTGTGCGTTGGTGTCTGTCGCCCAAAACGCTAGAAATGTTATCGGACCGAATGGCTCAAACTCTGATAGTGAAACGAGTCATTATTGATTGTCTTATTTGACGCTTTTATCCAAAGCGAAGAACATACAAGCACCAACACAGTCCGAGATCTACCAGTGACGACAGATACTAGCTGGAGCTGTTAGCACGTACGGCATCAATGGGGTAAATAGTCCGAGTTAACGAGTGGTGGAATCAGTAGAAGTGTGAAGAGGCCGAAGAAGATTTGACACAAAAGTATAAATGGGCCTTAACACGTCCAGGAAGCGAGCGGTTCAGTGCTCTCACTATATGAACACATTTTTTCTTTAATGCGCTTTGAAAGCAGCTTGTTTATAATTAACAGTCACTAATCAATAGAATAACTAAATGCCACTAATGGAAGCAGATTTTTAAAGAACTAAATTAGCGTCAAGTTTCAGCTCAGACAAGGCGTTATGCAGAACTCGCGTCCGACTGAATGAAATGTTTCCTTGGAGTCCGTTTATGGCATTCACTACACAAACGCCCATGAGCCTTTGCCAAAAGCGTTTTGATAAGGTGGAGGAACATGGCCGACGGGCTGAATCCAAATGTGTGTGCGAGTGCTGAGATTAGATCGGCGCCCTCTGACAGTGCGGATGAAGGCTCAGTCCAGATGTGGGACACGTGGATCCAGCCCCAACGTCCTACCCCCTGACCTCTGACCTTCCCTGTGGACCGGTCAGCGTACTCGTAACGTTCCACTCTCTGCTCCAGTCCTAAAAACTACCGGCTCTCTGACCTTTTTATTTGAAGCAGCTTTAAATGAGACTGTTGAAACTTCTTAGTTTAGCGGTTTTCATGTCGTCGTCTGTCTTTAGTCAGTTTTTTCTGTATTTTATTTTAAAGGTTTGTCTCCGTCAGTCTGTAAAACCAGACTCTGCTTTATGTTCCACCAATTTTAGCACCCGCCTTTAATCACTTTGTGTATTTTAAATTGAATGTTTCATGAAGGAAGTGATGCTTTTTTGTCAAACATAAACTCCTAATATCAATGATTTTAAAAGGTGATCAGCTGTTTCTTGGATTAGACGGATTTTTTATTTTTTTTAAATGTAGTCCCCTTAATAGTTGATCAGAAGTTTTACTGTTATTTCACCCAAAACTTTTGTTTGCTGTTTGACCCCAAATATTTGAATTAGTGTTTAAAGACACAGGGACCCTGTCGTTAGTGCCTGTTTGTACTGATTTTGGCCCCTGAACCTCTGGGCCTGGCAGGTCACTTGAGTTACCCATCAGTGAGTTTAATCATGTTTGGGTGAAATATTCCTTTTAATATTCTGGGTAATATGATCAGCTGACCAGCTGAGGAGTTAAAACTCACAAAGAGTGTGTTTGTCCTTCGGTCACCTTTTTTATATAAATGACATTTTTATGCCCAGAACATGAAGCGGACTGCAAGTTTAAAAACAATTGTTCGTAAAGTTTGTGTAATTTTTTCCAAATGTTAGAAGATAAATGTTTTTCGTCCTTTTACATTCCTTCGATGAGTGGTCACATGTTTCTATATCGTCGTTTTTTTTTTCGTAGCCAAACTAATTTTAGTAACTCGTTTGAAAACTAATAAAAATCAGCTGATTGAGAAGTCGTCCAGTATGTGTGTAACCCTTCAATTATATGCGTGCTGCACAATAGGGCTGGACAATAAAACAATGGTGATAATTATTACAATTATTGCCACTTTTTCCATATATTTACATTTTTAATAGGAAATGCTTTGACAATCAAACGACATACAAAGAGTTAATCATTGAATACACTGGAAAATGTATTAAAAAAGATTTTCTTATTCGTGTCAGACAATCAAAAACCTGTTTTTTATATTATGGTTAACTTTAATGTTCAGGACCAAGTAAAGTCTATTTAGAAGGAAATGTTTTTGTAATATATTTGTATATTTCCATGCTTCTCTTCTGTGCCTGTAAAATAAATTGGTTTTTCATCCATTCATGTGTAACAGAGAATACTGTAAAGATATACAGTGAAGTATCTCGCTATGTCCTTTTCAAATTGCTGCAATTTCATATCAGAGACAATCATTTTATTATTCAGTCATATAATAAACAGATTTTCAAGAAATGAATGTGTTGATGATCTTTATTCAACCACACTTGTAACTTTGTGTGTTTTAGGCTGCAATCATCTCGAGTTATGAAGCTGAAGATAAATGTGACTTTAACATAACTTCAAACTTCACGTTAAAGACAAAACTGTGCACAGCGTCACATGTTTACTGCTGTGCTCGATGAGTGACTCTAGTGAAGGAATACATATCTGACCAGATTTGCATGTACGAAGACTCTTTATATTTATTAACATAAGATGGTCAACTGAACCAACTTTATTTAATAAACAAGCACACTTTGAAAGACCGTTAGCTTCAATAAATTAAAAGGGGTTTACTCAAACATACTGCGTCTTTAATCTGTAACTAAATCATAATTAAATGTAAAGATTTTTATGCTCATTTTGTAAACGTGAAATCAGTATTATGTGTTTTCAACTGCAAAACTTAAATTTTAGTTTTTTGTTTTTTTTTCAGAATTGATGGTTGTGTTCTGCTCACACTGACAACAGAACAGCTGACTGTATTAAACTTCTTTGTCTGGTATGACAGTGTCCTTTTTAATAATTTAAGAACAAACTATTTCAAACCAACAAAGATTTTAAAGGCATCCCTAAATAATCTCTGTAACAAAAACACTTAAACAACTGCTGCTTCTCTGACATGAAGCACTATTTTCCCCCATTATATTGAAATGAATACAACAAATTTTCTATATTTTTAATGTCCCCATTTTATATCACAAATCTCTGTATATGCAGACTTTTGTTTGACTTTTATTGTTTGTCTCCCTGTTCTGCATGAAGCAGTTAACCCATTTAAATAGGCTAAAAACTGGAACACCTGGGCAGGACCACATGTCCACATACTTTTGACAGTATAAAAATGTTATTTCAATTAAAAGCTTAAATAATTGTGTTTATTTTTCTCTTCACCAACTTTAAATATGCTTTATTTTTATAAATGGGTGAAACAGCGCCCCTCTGGATGTGAACGGCTGGTGAACGGCAGTCTGTGCGGCCATAGGTGGTATTGCACTGTGACGGTAGCACCTATCGTGTGGAGCAGCAGAGAGAAGCAGGTGAAGGTGATTATCTGCGAATACACAGGCTTTTGGAAAAGAAACAGAGTGCCAGGTCGGTCCTGTTACAACAAACTGATTATAGAAGCTTGACGAGTTAGTCTAAATTAAACAAGCAACAGAGCTAACTAGTTTCTTTGTGTGTAGCAACTAAGTTATTTCAGTCGCATTAGCAAGCTAGCAGCTGCGATGGCGGGAGAATTCTGTCAACAAGCAAACAAGATGGCGTCGCAGCAACAGGTCCAGCGGGACTTTATTAAAGACGGAGGAGGACAGAAGCTGTGGACATGGAGCCTTTTACCTGCAGGGAGGAAAACGCCAAACAAGGTGAGTAAACTGCGGCGTCTGTGTGTCTTTGCCTGCTAACTAAATATTTACCACCTGAAGTTAAAGGGAAACCGCTCCTCCTTTTTTTCACGTCTTACAGTTGTGTTGGGTATTTTAAATAAAAAAGTCTAAAAAGCCGTCTGAAACACACTTTCACATTTTTAAAACCTTTTTTATTAAATCTGGGAAATAAAAAGGGCGATTTATTTCACATGTACACCACATTGGACCAGGCCCAGATCTGAAACTACTAACTGTCATATCTGGACTAATGGATCACTCCAGAGAGATTAAAGATCCTTTAAAACACCGTTTCAGAGTTGTAAAACTTTTATTCTATTCATGAAAATACTGTCAATGGTGACTTAAATGTTTCCCTTAACTTTCTCCTCACTGCCATCTGAAACTAACTTTAGTGTTTTAAGTGTTTCTGTCGTATCCCACCGTAGGGGTCAGAGGTCATCGCTCTTTAATGTGCCACAGCCACATGTATGTGTAGATGAAAAGCCAAGTCAGTAATGCTGTTCAGATCAGTGTGATCAGGAGACTGGAGCCAACCTCCAGACGTGACAGCCTTGATGTTGTCCAGACCAGTGGTGAAGATTTCTGCCTTTTCTGCATCAATTTATGGTGGAAATGTTTTTATCTAGGCTACGTCAACGGAAACACAAAACTCAGGCAGCAGGTGACTAAAATATAAAATATATCAGAATATAATTCAGTAGGTGCTGATTTAGTCCTCCCTCCTCGTTGTGTCTTTGTTTGGAGAAGTTCCTCTTTAAATGCGGCACCTTTTCACCCAAAGGATAAATTAATTCAGTTAGAAACTCCTGGACTGAATGTTCAAAACTTTTTGCATCTATCCCACATATCTGTGAAGATTTTTATGAGAATAACGTCATCATTTAATCCCAATTCACAGTATTTTCCTAAATCTCCCCCCGCCTCTGTAATCTGCTGTTCATGAATCCCAGACAGACAGACACAGAACTCTGAAGCTGTTGTTGTTGTGGAGGTTATAGTTGTTCTTTATGTGGGACATATGCACATTAATCAACACTGACATTAACTCCATCAGTGTACAGGCGCAGGGCCTCATGTTGGCTCCACAGCTATGCCACTGATTTGTTTTTGGGGTTTTTTACATAATAATAAAGTTAAATAGAAAATAAGAGGGATGAGAAAGTGTAACATCAAGGCAATGAGAATACAAGAGAGAGATTTTAAAAAGAGTAAACTAAAATAGAAGGTAGAAATAAGCTGAAATAGAATAAAACAAATCAAACGGTCTAAAACTGCAGCAGAAGACAGGTCTGAGTAGAATTTAACTGTATCTTAAGTGTGGTTTTAAAGATGCTGTATGTTGTGTGGTTCTTTGTTTCCAGAGGTAGAGAGTTCAGAAAGTCTCCTAGAAATGTCCAAACCAAAAGACTTAAAGGACGAGGAGCTCTGTAGTTCCCATACTGACTAAATGATTCCTCAGAGGTAAAAATCATTGGGTTTGTCATTTATGTCCTGTACTTCACGTGTCAGGGATCTGTTCCAGAAAGCAGGTTTAACAAACTGACTAAGGGCCCGTGTCCACCAAAGTGCCAGCTTCTTTTTTTTTTTTATTTTTCTTCTCAGTTTTTTCAAATGGCAGCAGCGTGACGAGGCGCTGACCGTTTTTTCTGCGCTGGGCGTTTTTCAGAAGAGCTGCTGGCGTTTTCAGCTGCCAAAAAACACTTTGGACACGGGCCCTAACCCTGAACTCTGAGCTGAAGAACTTGAGATGGGTTTTTGGTTCCAGCTGATCAGTCAGTTCAATTAATTAACTTAAGTATGTTCACTTTGTGCATGGTGAATGAAAAAAGCCGTGATCAAGGGAGCTCCGATTCTATTTTATATGTATTTATACACAATATCTATTACATTTAAATATGTATAATTATTTATTATATTACAAAATATAAAAAGAATTATCAAAGCCAGTGCAGTGCCCGTTCACAGGGGCCGATGTGGCGTCTCGTGGAATTCTGAACGTGTCGCGTGTCCAAAATTCACCAAACGTGTTTCTACACTCCCTCTGATCTGCAGCAACACACCCACCACGTGTGAGGTCAAATGGAGGAACGGTTCTCGACATAAACGAAACACAAACACACAGAGATTTCTGCCTTTATTAGAGAGATGTGTGCATAAAAGGGAAACGCCTTTTTCCAATTAATCTTTAAGCTCTCTCTAGTAAAATATTCTGATGTTTTGATAGCTGCACCATTTCATCAGATAGAAATATCACACGTCAGGTCATAACTGCTGCTACTTAGGTCAGTTAGCCGGGCAGCTAACTTAGCTGACCGCAGCTGGCAAGCAGGCAACAGAACCAGACTCTGCAGCCTCCCAGGGAACACGGACCAGGACCGAACACAACCTTCGAGACTGAAGGAGGCCAGTTGGAAGACAGTGAGACAGAGCCGGGGGGTTTACAGCGGCTCCGACCAGGACTGACTCCGGGTTCAGGTGGGGACATCAGAGGAAAATTTGGGCCAAATCTTACACACTGCACCTCTTTATTTTTTTGTTACACCACAAACTGGAAGCAGTGGAGTAAAATATTCTGACAATAGCTGCATTCACATAAATACACTGAACATTTAAAAAGTCATTCCTGCTGTAAAACGGGGACCGACATGATGGTGTGAGGGTGTCAGACAGTCTGGCCTCGGCCGTCTGGACGTCACAGCCCCTCGTCAGAGTCTGGAGGCTGAAACAGAAAGCAGAGTTCAAACAGTTCAGATGAGATGAAGAGAGGAAGACGAGCGGCTGATGAAGAGCAGCGGTCAGACTGTAGAAAGCTCTCAGGTCAGCCTGAGTTACCATGAAGTCCTGCTGCAGAGTCACAGCCTCACTGAGGTCACTCTGAGGAGGCTCAGCAGGAGTGGAGCTGTGATTCAGAGTTTGTCCTGAGGGGGGCGCTACAGGAAAGACCATGGGGCTCACTCTCTGAACTTCTCTGTCTTAAATAATATTAATAACAATAAACTTTATTCTTGTTGCGCAATTCATGCTTGGATTTTTATGTTTTCATATATGTTGATTAAATATGTGTCTGACACGTGAAGAAAAACAGCTGTAGACACTAAATCAGACGCTACTCGATCCAGATCCTGAAGGTCCTGAGTCACAGATATTACACTGATCAGCTGAACTTATTGAACTACAGAAACCCTCTGGCTGGTGTTCCAGAGTGGAGCCTCTTAGGTCCAGATCAGACTCACAAACCAACGTTTACTTTTGTGATCAGATTTAACCTTAGTCAACGACGATAATTCTGCTCTGACGTTTGTCATTTTAACATCTGGCTGTTTCCTCAGCTGCTCCGAGGATCAGCTGTGCTGTTGAACCCGGCGACGGCGCCGTGCCCATCAGGATCTGAGCCTGAGAGGACTTGTTGTCTGGGCAGAGAGCGGTTTATAACTGTGTTGTTGTAACCTGAGCTTTAACGTTGGGATTTCTTGCTTTGCTGAAGAAATAACGGACCGCCGTCCTGTTTCCTGCTGTGTGCTTTGGTGCTCAGCGCGTTTCATCGTCGTATCGGTGCCACGCTGCTGGACCTTTGCTGTTCTC